TCGAGTGGCGAGTTGTAACATTAATTGTAAAAAAGTTTTTAAAAACTGTTTACATGTAAGCTTCCAGATATGACAGAAAGTTCCCAAAGTGCATGTTACTTCCTGTCATTGATTTATATTTGTTCATATTTAGGTGGTTTTGATTTTAAGTCTTTAAATTGAGTTCATGATTAGGGCAGGTTATTTTCCTTATCAAAAAAATAGGTGTATGAAAAAAAGGTCTTTGTTACTATGTATTTTCAATCAAAACAAACTGTTTGACTGGTATAAATCGGACCATTTGGGAATTAAAACCCTCCCTCTCTCAGTGACAATCTGGAGAGAGTTTCCCAAGACGTCAAAGTCTATCAGGTGACAGGTTTTAACAGGTCTGTAAACCGGCCTCATATTGGTACAATTGACAGGCTGTGGTACTGAGGGTACCACGCCTTGACTGACATTGATAGATGTGGTGGGTCAGCCCTGGTGAGTGCCTGTCAATGATGGATTTAGCTCAGTAACAACAAAGGCACCAAAGGTTCACACATGCATTCCAGCCAAACAAAGGCATTGGTCTTTCAAATGGTTGCTACGCAAGCTGTAGCAGTATTAATGATCACCCTATCTATCAAACCACTTCAACAGGCTTTGGCAGTTATACCGTGTAATCCCTAGTGGTTTCTGGTAGTTGGTGACCAGCCTGTACAAAAGCTATTGAGAGAGGTAGGGGTTAGCTTGCTTGGCAGTTTGTGATAGTTATAAGTATAGGAGGGTTTTAAAGACTTCTGCTCAACTTTGGTTACTTATGCCGTGAAAAACAGCGTATGCAGAGTAATTGCAGAATACCCCGCCACTCGGAATTACACCCCTAAATTCTCTGGCTACGAGGTTGGAATCACTGGAAAAGAAACGATTCAAGTCCATGCCAGCTACGCGGATACTGAGTGGGGGTCCCCTTGAGAACAAAGCAACACAAAATGAATGGGAGTTGCTGAAAAAATTGTAAGTCCAAACCAACCACCCTGTTGGCGGCTACGAGGCTACGGAGTGGGAGTGCAGTGGAGCATGACGCATAGTACACGCAAGTAGCGCTGAGGTTTATTGAGGGCAATCAACCGTGACTCTGTAGCTGGCTACAAGGTGGATAGATCAAGTGGCGGGGTATTCTGCAATTGTGCCGCGCATGCTGTCTTTAAGGTAGCTGATAGGAAATTCAGTAGAACGCCGTTATAACACACACCAATGGGTCCATAAAAAATGTTCATTATAGTGGTCATTCGTTATAGTGATTGTGCATTATAACAGAATTTAATATGTTGGGAGCCACAGAGGATGTTCATTATAGCAGTGCTCGTTACAGCGGCGTTTCACTGTACAAAGCATATGTGTTAATTTCAGAAGATTTTGTGTTAATTTACAACTCGAAAAACCATGGGGATTGTCGCCTGTTTTGGTGTTGGAGCAATCATTAGACGTCTTTGATGTGCAGTCGGCCAAATGAAATGCGACGTGCACATCGGGAGATTCTGGTACCTGCATTGTTTGCAAAGGCAATTTCACAGATCTTCAGAGGTTCATGCTGTGTGACGTATGTTTGTTCTCCGCCTTATGAAAGCCTTGTTCGTGAACTGACGAGCCAAAAGAGAAACGAAACCAAAAAGAACGGGAACAGAAAGAGCTGATTTTTTTTTTTTCACTCGAGTTATTCGCTGGAGGCAGTTGCGTAGCTGCAGAGCGCACAAAGTTGAAACGGGTCAAAAAAATGGTGCTACCAAAAATTTCTTTCCAGTGAAAAGGAATTGGGTACATTGTGGGATAGTTGGATATTGGTTAATTTTTTTTTAGCCTGTACATTTTCTGAGCCAGAATTTCATGCGTGGCAACTCGCTGGAATGTGGCACGAGGCAAAAAGTATTCAGGACTGCATGCGAATGTGTGTGTGTTCAGTTTGGCGTTGCCTACTAAAAAAAACAAACCAAAGTGTACATTATTAAAGTTATTTGCCAAAAAGATATAACTATTTATTTTTTGCATTTAGTACTTAAAATACGTTAATCGAGATCGAACTGACAACATAGTTCCAGTCGCTGTTTACAAAAGGATAGGGTTGCCCATAATGCACATGTCAGCCACACATTGGTATTGAAATGTGTTTTATGGCAGCCATTTTGCCAACATTCCAGAGCCCCAGTATAAAAACTGGGCACAAAAACACATCAACCTTTCAGTGGGTTATTTGGGGACATTTTTCAACATCTGCCATAAATTTGACATTCCTTTTCTTCAAGAGCTGGAAAAAAAGGTCTTTTGAGCAGTTCAACACATTTGGAAGACTGGAAACAAAAATATTCTGGTAGAATTTTGCCTGCAGTGCAGCACAAAGTTCATAGTTTTACAACTTTCTGATTTTCAAGAGAAATATAGCGAACCGTAGAAAGCTGCCGTGCGCAACCATACTTCAGGGATTCTTTTTGTGGTTCATCGGTACTGCTTTCAGGTGGATTCCAACTTGGAGACAAAGACTTCCAAACCAATTCAGCTTGACCAAAAAGTTGATCAGTTTGCATTTGCATGCATGAAAAGTGCCAGTACGTCTAAAAATGCCATTATATTTGCCAACCAACACGTCCAAATATTAACAAAGTCTAATCTATATTTAGCAGCTTTTATATACTTGCATTAAGTTTATTTATATCAAACAAATTTAACTGCTTTATAATCATAATGTTTATTTTTTTTTCCGTATCATATTAAAATCTATTTTTTATTAATCTTTGTAGTTTAGGTTGTTTCTTTAAAGTGATGATTAGATAGATGTTAGTTCCTGTTCCTGAAGAAAATCAGTATTTTGTTGCAGGCATTTCAGATTTTCCTTTTAACATGTACTTTTGAGACATCGGTAATTGCAACCAAATCTTTCTTTTGCACAGGAAATTGTATCTTGGAAAAAAACTTCATTTTTATGTTGTGATTATATTAGTTAGTTATTTAGGTGTTGAATAAAACTGTTGCATTTTTGAAAAAAAAATTGAGCTTAGGTAGTGTGGCTTTAGTGTTCTTCTTCATCGTCCAAGTAACCGGTAAATACAGACTTTTTACATACACCAGCCATATTTGGTGGTGTTTTACTAAATTTACATAATGATGCATACAGAGCTGCATCTGATAGATGGTATGGGCTCCGTGCACAAGTACCCCTTCAATGGCCAGAAAAAGGAGACTTGGGGGAGACCTAGACTGGTTCCCAGTCCATCCATTGTGTATTTCCAATGATTAGGGGATTAGTCTGGCACCATCCCAAGTTAAATTTGAATGTATGCTGTGGCTGTAGCTTGGCATAATGTACTGATCTGATACACCTTGCCCTCTGGAGACATGCACACAATAGGGAACAAAAGATTGAACATGTATACGTCTCCACAGGGCAATTTCTATAGATGAATACGTCTCCACAAGGTTTTCTCGAAATAGATACATGTATATGGATTTTATTCAAAAACTAGGAATTTCCAAGGTGGGTTGATTTGTCGCAAATAGAAGAGTTTTAGAAAAGGGATATTAAGTCAGAATTTCAGCCAAGAAAATTAATTCTGTTTAAAATAAGAGCATTTTGAATCTTCCCTTTCAAACTCGAAAACTTTACTACACGAGAACAAAGAAATGTCTCCACAAGGATACAAATTTTAGTATCGGTGCACATGCTGTGTGTCCCCACACCCTGGTCGTATCATTACATTCACGGTTGACTGAGCAGTGACCAGTTCTATGAAAGGGTCTATTTAGAGAATTGCACCACTTTTCAATTGTGGAAAAAAGTAAGACTGCTCAGAGGCTAAAACAGAAATGACAGAGGTACATACATTAACATGGGGGTGCACACAAACATGCAGGGCTGAAAGAAGAAGCACAAAAGGAGGATTAGGTGGGAAAGGTGTGGAAAGATGCAGGGGAGGGTGGATGAGAGAACAAAGAAACAGGGAGATGGCAAACCACAAGGGGTCTGGTATAAACAGGGGAGGGACCAGAAAAGGTAAGGATCAAAGGTCACAGGGAGTGGGAATGGACAAAGGAGTGTGAGAGTGAGGATGGGTAAACACAAACAAGGAAGACCAGGTGGATTATCTGTAACAGAAGACAATGGAGGAAGAAATTGTGGTTTTTGTTGTGTCAATTGTCACAGAGTAAAAGGCTATGGTTGCCAATCAAAGCAGGTGGGAAAAAAGAGATTTCACCATGAAAAGTGGCGCAAGTCTCTAAATAGACCCTTTCATATAATTGGTCACTGCTCAGTCAACCGTGAATGTAATGACATGATCAGGGTGTCATTTTAAAGAGGAGATTCAACCCTAACAGAGGATATCTCCCTTTGATTCACATGTGCCCTACTTCTGTTCCAATTAGCAATAATATCTCGTTTTTTAAATTTTTTTATCCACCCTGTATAGCGTGTTTGCATTCTTTTGAGGTGTCTTATGTTAATTCGGAATGAATGTTGCAACCTGACGCCGCTTCAGCAGTTGTGTACAAAATCTATAGAGAGTCAAGAAAATTTTCTAAGTATTTCCTATCAAAATTGGAAATGCTTCTCGGTCCCAAATTCATGTCTTATCATTTTTGCAATGACCGAACCCTTATTGAGATGATATATGAAGAAAAAAGTGGCAACATCTTTTCCATTATTTCTTTAACAATGACTGCACAAGAGGGCTACTCATCCGTAAGATACACACTCTCACCAGAGCACAAGGAACTTCATCACCACCTCAATTCCAGCGTCCATCATGCCCCTGGAGGCGTTACTCAAGGCTTGGACTCTTCAGTCACTCCAGATCACACCAAACTCATCCCTAACTTCATCATCACCCCCACCATGATGCAATCCTAAGTTATGAGGTGTGCCAAAGAGAGAGGCTTTGAACTGTAGGATTTGTGATTGATTTGTGATTGACTTGTGACTATAGCTGGACCAACGTGACTACATCATTTTCACACCGAAACAAATGCAACAACATACACAGAGCAAGGCTATCTTAAAAGAACATTTTAATACAAAAGCATACAAAAATGAACTGTACAGTTATTGCAATAAATAACTTGGTCAACTCGATTATTAAAAAACTATAAATACATTTACATATTTACATAAAATATATATATTACATGTATTTAAAAGAAATACATCTCAATCTGAATTAGGTGAAAATCATTAAAGTCACAAAATATCTAGTGTGCTCAAGTTCCTGAAATATCTTCCTGCTTAGCGCCCTATATAGGAACATCTTCATTTACCTGGAACAAAAGCTACCAATTAAATGACAAAAACCTTGCTCAAAGTGAAGATGGTACTGGTGACAATACCCTGTAAAATTATTCCACCTGAAATGGCATCATTCGGAAGAAAATAACATTCAAAATTGGGTGCCCATGAGTGCACTTTTTACTTGTGTTACATACGTTAGCAAAGGTATCCAGTTATGAGACCCCCAAAAAGTTCAACAACTTAGTTGTTATGCACCCAACTTAAAAGTTTGATAAAATTATCCCACATACATTTAAGTACTTATAATGGTTCCCATGACATAAAATTCTCATTCAAGTGAAAAATGCAGTTGTAAAATAATTCATGGACATTTGCACGAAACTACAAATTTTAGTCTTCATCAATAATTATTGGATGAAAAGTACCCTATGCTAAAAATAATATCATCTCACCTATAAGTACCTTTACCAACTGATTATAAAAACCTGACAGTGGGTGGGCCCAAATAAGTTCCCTGTGTGTTCCGGACTACACCCCTTTTAGTGTAATTAACGAAGGTATCTGATCACTTTTTACAGTTTGAACTTGTTTCTTAGTTACTTTGAAAGAGCCTTGAGTTTGTTCAACACTTTTTTTACTTTACGAGTCATTATTCATTTGACTGTACAACAAGAACCAAGAGTGGATCAATTTAAAATGGTTCCGCACACTCCGTTCCCACAGGAATGCACACAAACCCATGGGCCAAGTGCACTTCTTGCCTAAATGTTGAATAATGGCTAAATGTGAGGGACATGAGAGACTGAAACCCCTGTACAGTCTTTGAAGTTCTGTCTGGTTGAGCCAATGGTATCTTTTATTTAAGGAGTGTCGACAAAAAAAAGGGAATTTTGTTTGTACCAAGAGTAATAGAGATGAAAACACTCTTCAAGTTTCTGTCTTCCATGCACAGGATCAAGGAGAATCTGCTTGATTAACACATGCTGCAAGAAAGAGCAAAAGAGTGAAACAGTTACGAAATAGACAAGACAATGTACTAAAAAAATTAACCACTTTGCGCCGGGATTACTTTTGCCGTAAATGTCGATTTTGCAAAAGGCAAAACTTTCCAGCCAACTTCTGATATACAGCCAAATGCCACACATACGGTACTGATTCGCAAGAGTCATTTCAAAAGTATTTGTACAATATTTCTTGCCGAAACTTCTTATGATTCAATACTCCTGGGTGTGAACTGGAGCGTAAACTGTACAACAATAGGCCGTGCACAACGGCCAATTCAAGATCAACGCAGGGTCCACCTCCACAGACTTCACAGACTTTGTGAGTGTGTACAGTTCTGCACATAGCTAGAAATAACCTGTGCAACAGAGGTGGCAAATTCAGTCACAAAATAGCAACCCCTGAAAAATTCAGTCCAATATGAGTCATAATTGGTTCCCAGACAGGATTCAGATCGAAGGAGTACACTTACGTTTGGTGGCCAGCAGTGTGTTGCCATGGTTACAGGAGATGGATGTTATTGTGAAGGGTTCTTCCTCATTAAGCTCCACTTTCTGTGGGATTCCAGAGTGGTCCTCCTGTCGGCCCAGTCGACCTCTTGAACTCTTGCCCCAGGAAAACACCTGGCCATCTAAGATGCAAAGGTTCAATCAAGAAAAAAAGACTGTTGCCTTTTTTCACGAACAGTAGTATACAAGTCAAGAATGTCGACAACATCAATACCTCACTGAGCTTAACACCGTCAATATCGGAATTTTCAATAATTGATATATCGGAAATCTAGTATTGATAATATTCAATACAATGATTATCCCATGTAAAAGTTAAAGACCATACATTTAAGACCCAATTTTCCACGGCTTTCTCTGGAGCATATTGCTCAAACTTTTTAAAACAAATCTCAGCACTGAGAGTTTGTCCGGAACGGGCGGTTTCTTTTGAGGTTTTACATTGGGAAGACCGCAAATTCCAGAGCACAGAGCGATGCTGCTTGGCATTTTGTGACGGCTTTATTTTGAGTCACAAGCACAAGTTGCCACACAAATTTATTTCAGCATACAGCAAACGTTAAACGCAAAGTTAAAGCACAAACGGGAGATTTAGTTTGATGACAATCGGACGCATTTTGGATATTTTCATCATTTCTCAATATCGAAAATTTCAAAATGATTAAAAAATTGCTATCGGCGATATTGATATCAAAATAATATCGAATAATCAAGTAATATGGATATAGACAGTGCTTACACTGAGCGACGATTAGCAGTGCTGTCCTAGCGAGTCAATCACAATTCATTCAGTCTTGAGTCTTGTGATATTCCATTTCTACTTAAATGAACCTTGACAAAGACATTTCCTTGTCACTGTTTATCCCCAGTTACTTGATACCTTACTTCTCCTCAGGCTCCCACAGTAATTACGGAACACCGGAAGCCAAAACTTACTTGAACAAACAACCCTCTTACCAAGCAAACCATGGTGTTCTTTATGTACACCATCAGCATCACTTTACAGTATGTCCCCAAAAAATGTCCGTCTGACTATTTTTGAAATAACTACAAAACCATGAGGTTAATTTTGACAATTTCTGATTGTGCAGCTACTCCTTATCCTTGGCCTCAATCCCTATGAGTTTCATTTAATTTCAGTCAAGCATCACTGCACAATTGTCAATTGATCGCAACAACATTTTTGGACTTTGTGACCAAGTTCCTTGCCCTAATCAATTTCAGTGCTTTGTTATGTAAGCCGTGTAAAATCCTGCATGTTGTGAAAAGGGCTGCGGTTGGGATTGGAATCATTTGCCTGGCTATCAGTCATCATGGCAAGACATCAGTTTAATGCTCAAGGGCAAATGATTCCAATCCCAAACCACATCAGCCTTTTTTCTCCACATGCTGGATTTTACACAGCTTACATCACACAACACTGAAATTAATCAAAGTACGGAATTTGGTCACAGCGTCCAAAAATGATGTTGTGCTCAATTGACAATTGTGCAGTGATGCGTGACTGAAATTAAATGAAGCTCGCAGGGGTTGAGGCCAAGGCTTAGGGGTATCTGCGCAGCCAACATTTTAAAATTGACCTCATCGTTTTGTAGTTATTTAAAAACAGTCAGACTGACACTTCTTTTAGGACATACTGTAGATACCATGCAAAACTCAGGTGAAAATTGCATCTTTCACCAATCGCCAAATGTTGACACACATTAAACCTGATGCAACAAGCCGGTCTTACCTGATCCTAAAGCAACAGTGAACATATCCCCACACGCTACCGCCGTTATCTGCACATCATCTTGGAATGTTGGGCGGCAAGGGATTCTTGGGGTGTTAGTTTCAGTTTCGCAACCGAGCTGACCAAACTGGTTGGAACCCAGCGTGAAGCACACATTATCATCTGCAGGCCAGGAAATTAAAAATGTAAATGCTTTTATCAAATCGGAAATCTGAAAATCCATTTGCAAAAGATTCTTAGGTGAGTAAATGAGCTATTCATTAAATATTCTACATGAGCATATTTGTGTTTTTTAAAGTTTTATTTGTCATTTGTTGAGTTCCAGTCACTTAGTCGAGGCCGAGTCCCAATTCCGAGTCCAAATTGTCAAATCTGAGAAACATTCGTTGTCGATGGTGACTTTGGTCTGAGTCCTAGTCAACAAAAATGTGACTCAAATAGGACTCGAGTCTGATTCGCTTGCAATGGTGTTATTGGAAAAACACACTGATGAAGACTGTCCCACAAAAATAAAATACAATCAAAATAATTAGGCCCCCCCCCAAAAAAAAGTCTCCGGTTTCTGGTCTGCGCGCGCATCGCCGTAGCCATGCACGTCGGCAAAATTAACAAGTTTTTTTTCAATGTAAAATGCTGTCTCTAAACGGCCAAAGTCACTGGTTTGACTGGAATCCTGCTGCTGCACAGTATTAACGTGTTTTTAAATGGGGTTATGATCGAGTAATGGCCTCTCTGGGCTCCCATATATTTTGCACTAAATTTAGTCGGGCACCATTTGCAGATGGTGTTGTAATTTTGTAATTGCGTGTCTGGAAGCCAGACTGACAGAGTGCTGGTCGTAAACGCTTTTAAATTAGCGCAATATTTAATAATAATTTAATAATAATAATAATAATAATAATTTGGGGAGGCTAATCATCCTTACTCGCAGCTGGTATGCTGAATTGCGAAGGACGCGGCTACAACGTGGTCGGGCCGCTAGCACGTAAAGGCGCCTCTGGCTGCCGGCCACATCGACCCATATATTACCACGGAGCACAGCCTGAGATCAAAAGTGTTTGATTTTTCCGGAGGGAGGAAAACCAGAGGGCCCGGAGAAAAACCCTCGTGGCACAGGAGAGAACCAACGCACAACTCTACTCACATTCGATCCGCGGCCAGGATTCGAACCGTGGTCACCTTGGTGAGAGGCGAGCGCTTTACGCACAAGCCACCCATGCCACCCTAAGGGAGCAGACTAACGACCAGCCTGGCAGCACATGCACGATGTCGATGTCGCTGTATGGTCTGACATTACCTTTTTCTCTGATTTTTGTTTTGACTATCCTGATTTCCCGTAGAATGTTCGTGTTGGTTGAGATCATAAGTGGGTGCAGAATTCTCAAGCCTTATGGCCTCATTGAGGTCACCTCAAGCTCCACCCTGAAGGATATTTGTGAGAGTTTTAAGGAGATCGAAGACATTTGAAGAAAAAAAGTAGAGGAAAAAAAGAAGAACAAAAAAGCTGCGTCGCCACACCACTTTTGGGGCAAGCTCCATACCAGATACAGGAGACTTTTTTGGGGGGCCTTAGACAAATCAAGGCCAAAATTCCTACCTGTAACTAAGGCAGCATGAGCTGTTCCTATGGCAACACTATGGATTGACAGCTGATGAATAGGGGATGAAACCACTGGACTGTAGGTGTGCATCTCATCTACTTTACCGTTCGTCTTCTTGTTAGGACCGACATCATCTAGGCCTAGCTTGTTATATCTTTGGGGAGAAACAAAAAGAAGCACACAGTTACATTTGAACACAGGAAATGCAACTTGCATAGTGCATGGTGAGACTGACAAGCATAGTGACACAAGAAACTTAAAACAGTCATGCTTTTGTGATGGTACTGGGGACCTTAAGTTGATGCAGCATCTCACATTTTGTTTAGTTGCCATTTTCCCCTTCTTTTTAACCCTAAAAGGGCTGGGGGGGGGGGGGCTAGGGTTAAATGGCTAGAAACGTATTGAACAGAAGTAAGTATCAGTACTTGTATATGTTGATTAACTTCCATGAAATGACGTCTTGTGCACCTTCTGCAATAAAATATGGCACATATGGAGTTGGCTACACCATTGCTTAAACTTTATTCAAGTCGTTGACACAGCTAACTGCCAGACTTTTTTCCGCATTCACTCAGTGCTGTGTAAGAGGTTTTGAGAAAAATATCACAAGCTCTCTCGGCCGAGACTCATCCCTTCAGCACAACCTAACCAAGATGGCACCAAGCGTACATTGCTTATGGAGTCCATGCACTAGAGTTGGGGGAGACCACTGGGAGAGACATCCGAATACATTACTGGCACCATACACTTGCAAACTGGTACGCGCACGCAGTGACTCTTGAACATGGTCATTCACGGAGAACAAACTATGTCGCTTACACTATGGAGCATGTAAAACAACATCGCATTAAGGTAAAACTGAATTAACATTTACCAGGCAAAACCTTTCATCTTACACGATATTCTTCATCTAGACTGTAGATTTGACTCAAGTCGGAATTGCTCAAGTTGGTATCTCAAGTTTTTTTGTAAAACTACTTAGTTTACATCTTTCCAGAAGCTCGACAAGTTATACTTAAACACCCATTCCACTTCAGTGCCATATACCAATGCGACTCACTGTGTACAGCACGTGTATTTTTACGTACATTTGTGTGTACATGTGCAGGCACATGTGATTCAAAGAGTTAGCCAATTAATCTCCATAGACTGTGTACAAACTATACGCGCACGCTGGCAGATTGACCAAGTCTGGGTTTGCTGCATATCATGAAAATAACATGTCCATGTTTGTTTTTAACATGATGGTCCGGATTTGACGCATGAGGATGTGTGTTATACTGAACGAATGTATGCGTTATGTGTGGATTTACTATAGGCACAGACCGAGGCAATCCAGACTTGGGCCAAGTCTATCTAGACTGCAATGCCAACACAAACCTGTTGCTTCCACAAGCTAGGACTTTCTTATCAGTAGTCAGCAGTAGAGAGCAATCCAAGCCACAATGTACAGAGGCAATGTGAGACTGTACAGGGAGGAGGACACTCTGTGGTGACGCAAAGGATTCCTGACTGTCTAATCCCAGCCGTCCTGTAAGAATACATGGTGTTAAGGCAGGGTTACAGATCTGGTGGGGTTGGATGTTCAAGTCTATTTGAAAGGAAAGCAATTTCTGGTGTACTTTTTTCAGAGTTTTGGAAAAAACTTGGAATGAAATGGTGGTAAAGTTTAGCTAACAGGGAAATGGTCTTGTACTCAATTCACCTTTCATTTTGGGACTATTGGCTTCAAAAACCCTGGCTTTCATCTCTGGATTCTGGTTTAAGAAAGCTCTAATGTCAAAACAAAATGGAAACTGTTTTTTATTTTTGACCTCAAACTACAGGATTGGATGTTCGTCAAGCATCACGGGGACCGAAGTTGAGCAGAGTTTTCCAAGTCATGAGCCCAATATCTCCTGATGTCTAAGCCAAAGATATGAAGCTGAGAGCTTGTTTCTCTCAAAAAATGACTCTACAAATCTCCAGGGGTTGTCGTAGAGCCAAATGTTTTCATGCTCAGCAACAATGTGTATTGATATTCATTGGCCGGTAATCACTGCAGTTTTACCATTGTCTCCTCTGCCCCACGAGAACAATTCATTATCATTGGTGACAGCCACCACATGCGATGCACCGCAGGATACCATGACGACCTCGTAACCTAGCAACTCTTCAACAATCTTAGCTTGGGAGACGTCGTGATAGTCACCATGACCCAAGCTACCATGGGCTCCACTGCCGTAGGTCATCAATATACCTCGGTCTGCAACATGACAACATAACAGAAATTTGAGTTGTTTACCAGACGGATATGGCTTTTTTTTTTATTTAGGAGTCATCTAAATAAAGTTGGGGCAAAGCCATCTGCAACAGACCCAGTGTATCAGGTACTTGTTGTAATACAGTGTGAGTCAAAAAAACTATACATTTTAAAATTGGCCATAGTTTTATTCTGTAGCAAAATCGATAAGATGTTTCCATATGTACTTTTAGAGTAACGCTTCCTGCTTCTTTTGGTGACATTTTCACTGGATTAGTTTTCATGCATGACTGCACAGGAGACAATTAATGGGGTCGGGTGAAATCTGACTTGCACCAACTGGTCAGGGCTGGATAAGAATGAAACAATTTAAAAGAAAATATCTTATCTTTATTTCTACAGAATAAAACTATGGCCAGTTATAAAAGTGTATAGTTTTTTTTGACTTGCACTGTATTCTCAACTGTTATTCTGACATCTTCTCGCAGTGAAAATGTTCAGAATCCTGAAGCTAATTTAACGGATATCTGCACAACTTACACTATGCGTAGGACTTATGCAACCAATTTATTGCGCAGCTGCACACTAAACTTACGATTTCACAAAACTTGGCGTCGCTGTTCAACGTTTTGAATAATGTAAACATCTTCGATAATAACCCTTTGGGTGTATATTCCAAATAAAATAGGAAACGTAGTATCCATCAGGTTACTTATTTAATCAGAGAAGTTGTGCGACATGTTTTTATGATCGTATACGTACTCATCAGTTTGTCAAATTACAAAATCTCTAATAGCTGGTTGTACTTCACACTGTTTGTATTGATTTTTTTTTTCCTAACAAACTTTCAATTTCTGTAACGATGAAACCAAAAGACCCCTACTTTATTCCGATTTCGAGGGTCAGCGACCCAATGAAAAAGGGCTTTCATTTTGCATGCAAATGAACCTGCCCTGCGCGATCTGAACTATTTGCTGGCTGCAAATAATTCACATTTTGGGAAGAAATAATTCAATAACTAAACAGTGGTGGATTTTTCTCAGTGGATGTTTCAGTCGGTGAATAACCTATATACTTCTAGGAAAAAAGCTTACATTGCTAGGAAAAGCACTTGAAAAAAACAAATCTACTTTTTCAAAGTGAAACTCAAAAATAGCACGGGAGCGCATCTTAAACTACCTCCCTCAGTTAGAAAGTAGTCCAATCAAGCAACATCTCCCAGCCAGTACATTATTAATAACTCCATCTCCAACCATTGCGGATATTTATACACAATTCACCTGTTAAGCAAGCTGTGAACATGTCTCCACAAGACACATGTTGGATAGTGACTGCTGATTGGCCTTCTAGATAGCGGGGGATGAAGCTGGGGTACTGCTGGTCCACAGCTCCTGGTAGCATGGTAGAGTCCGAGCCTACAGAGGATGACTGGTGACAAAACGTCAGCAATGCTCAGGTTATTTATCCATGGACTCCATCCAGTAACGTTGAGTTGTGCAGTAATGACCACAATGATCACGATTTGCTGATTAAAGGTATAGTCCATCATTTGTACAAATTTGTGCATTATGTTCGTTTGAAGCAACAAAAGTGCTGACAATCTAAAGAATGGTGCTGAACAACTAACCTGATGAAGTTTCAGTGAATGCTGTATATTCTGAGAAAAAAATATTCTAGGATGTTGGTTTCAAATCAAAAGTTGCTGCGTCGTGTTTTGAATTGGGCCTGAATTCAGCGTCCGAGACACGTTCTCACTTAGCTGATTGTAGCTACGCGATGTCGCGCACTGATCCGACGAATTATAGCAACAGCGCACCCGTGTGTGCCGTGTCAACGCTTGTGTGCGCTTCACCGAATGAAAAAAATGGACTTCTAATGTAAATTTCCAAAGATGTGTCTTCCATTGGAAAGGTATTCTTTCATTGTTTTCTCCAAAAGGACAGCTTGCCAGAAAGAATAATTTCACAGGGAGTTTAGTCCCCTTACTATCTTTCAACCAAGTATGCTTTTCAACAATAATAAGTCAGTCACTTTTTGGATCGCTGCAAATGATAAACTGTAGCCTTAAATAGGTCATTTGCAGTTGATACGCCACAACTTACACCACTTAAAGTGATTGCGCAAATTACCCCATAATTTCTTACGTAAGTCAAGGACTTAAGCACTTGGAAACTTTTGTGAAATGTCATTACTTAAAAGTTGCACAGTGTGAAAATGCTGTGCAATTTACGCAATGGGCTCCGTGCGCTGACAACAGAGGGCGCCCTTTTACCTAGCAACGACGTCCCATGGGCGGGACATTTCGCTGGTTGACGCGCACCGTTCCTTGTGTGTGACGCACGTACACCAGGGGATTTGTACTATGTACACGCAGAGGCCGCACTTTGTGGCAAATGAATTGCAGTCAGGCAAGATGGCGTCGGTTGGTCGCGCCCTTTTACCTAGCAACGACGTCCCATGGGCGGGACATTTCGCTGGTTGACGCGCACCGTTCCTTGTGTGTGACACACGTACACCAGGGGATTTGTACTATGTACATGCAGAGGCCGCGCTTCGTGGCAAATGAATTGCAGTCAGGCAAGATGGCATCAGTTGGTCACCCCCAACTGTACTTCCTTTGCCGGTGAGGGGGTACTTGTGAACGGAGCGGATAGATTGAGGATGGTAATGGTGATGTGTAGCCATTGATCTCCATTAGTAAGACTGAATAGGACACACAGCACCCTCCATCTGGTGCACGCACGAGTGGTCTATTAGTCATGTTAGTGAGGGTTTGAAAGTTTGAAATTTCGTCACACTCGTCACACATAGTACCATGCAGCACGCGCACGTCACGCATGCGCGGTCGCAAACGTTAAATCCGCACTGTACTACCCTGCTGCTTGTGTCTGCATTTTCCGAATCTTCACTGCGCACAAGTATACGCGTGTCCTATCCAGTCTTACTAATGGAGATCAATGTGTGTAGCACACTAAAGCCAATAGCAGGGTTCCCACAAACATCTTGTTATGAAATTTTGACTTTCCATGACTAATTCCAATGCTGTTTTGACACATCAGCATTCTATTCCTCGTGAGGCAAGATATTTGATCATGGTTTAGAAATTTGAACTTAGCTTGAAAGGCAAGTTATTTCTCAAACGGCAAACTCTAATATTAAAACTCACATGTTCCAAACACAATAATTTCCATTAAAAACGTTCTTGGTACTTACTTCCCAGATGATAAGTCTTCCATTCTTAGTGACTGCTACCCTCTGAGTGCGACCGGTAGAGACCTGAGCAATCTGTATGTCACTGTGTGGGAGGGGGAGTCTGACGGGGGTATTGACACCATAACCCCAGCAGTAGACAGTTGAGAGTGGGCGGAGCTTAGGCAAGCTGGAGCTGCTGCTGTTCAGAACCAAGTTGGAGCCTGATGGCAAGATTAGAAAATGTATTACATGTTTATTATTAACCCTAAGTTCCTAGGCATTTTTGTTAGGATGCAACCTGAACCCTGCAAAATCCTCCAACTGCCTCCATGTAAAAATAGCATACAGCCTAAATAGGTCTCTCTCAATGACAGCCATCTCTGTAGGAGAACTGCAACTGCGTATTTTACGAAATCAAACACGTATTGCCCAGGCTTGAAAATGTTCCAAACACGTGAGCTTGTTGCTTGAAATGTGTTTGAACTACGACGCAGCCGATGTGCGTTTTGCAAGTTGATGTTCAAGATGCCGATGCACGTGGCTGGTCGGTAGGAAATGACATCATTTGAGAGAGACCTATCTTGCAAAATCCTCTATAATTTCTTGAATGTGGTCCTTGGAGGGGTGACCACTGCCTCAACCCTGCAAAGTCCACCGGCAATCACTGTCAATACGCTGAGGCAGAGCCAGTGACACCCTGGAGCGGTGCAGAGGATTTTAAAGTATAATCTAGGCCTAAATTTAGTTGCAAATAATCCTACATGGCTTTAAAAGGGAATGGTAAACAGCTCAAAATGATTTGTTGACTGTTCAATGTACTTTTCTATACTCAGTAGCTCTGGGTAATATAGTGACTGTAGGATTCAAATAAACAAGTCCAGTAAAAGCCACTTCTAGGAATCATTCAAACTTAACCACTACACGCCAGGATTATTTTGTCAAAATTTTTGATTTTCGCAAAAGGCAACATTTTCCAGCCAACTTCTACACAGGCAAATGCCACGAACACCGATTCGCAAGAGTGACTTCAACAGTATTTGTACGATATTTCTTGCTGAAACCTCATATGTTTCAACACTCCAGGGTGTGCACTGGAGCGTAAATTGTACAACAATAGGCCGTGCACAACGGCCAATTCAAGATCAACACACGGTCCGCCTCCACAGATTGCTTGGACTTTGTGTGTGTGTACAAAAGGCATGAGGGATTAGCGTGTTTAGACATCACCCAGAGGCAAGTCAAGGCAATCTTGATGTCTTAACCCATCAGCCGTGCCTGTTTATAAAAACAGCCAGTGCGTGGTATCACGTCCTCCAACACGAACTGGTTAAGAGAACTGAGCAAAAAAAGGAACTACATTTAAGATTTATATACTCACTTTTCCGAGACAGAGATTTAGTGCTGTCCTTCCGATTTGAGGATTGTACCTTGGAGTTGGCTGAGTTTGTCACTACAAATGGTTTGGGGATCCTGCACAACAATAAACAAGACAAACAAAAATTTAATTGGATCTTCTTTTTTATCCTTAAAGGGAATATACATCATTTGCTTTTGCTGTAATTTTCAGAAATGGATGGAATTGGGGGGTTGGAAATATATAGCAAATACAGTTACACTGACTTTTTTGAGGTTTTGGGTTCGAAAATGCTATAAAAACCAAGAAAACAATCATTTTCCTGTAGTCTGGTTCCCTGACTCCATATAAGAAGAAACAGAGCAGTTTACATATATTGGGGAATTGTAAGGTCAGGGAACCAGTCTAGCTGGCTTGTACCCATTCATAGGTGTGTAATCGATTGCAAACAAGTGCGATGGTCAATTGGGGCCAGTATTTGAAAAAAAGCCAGTTTTTTCCAACGCTGGTCGGCCGACCAGCGTTAGAAATTGATACAAAAATAATAGTTTTATTTTTTGATGTTTGCAAATGTTGTATTTTCCCTTTAACGTTTGAACTAAACTTTTTTTGGCCATTAATATGTTAACACATGTACAGCAAGACGTAACCAAGTACAAGCCCACAAAGTAGGTAGAAATGTGTATGTATCAATGACAACAAAAAGTACAAACTAATTCTGCGACAGCCATTTTTTTGTGGTGGCACCAGGCTTGTGCGAGTCACGCTTGTGTAATACGCACGCACTCATAAATTCCACCTCATGGTTCAACCTCATAAATTTTGTTTGCCGAATTAGTTTATGGATTTCTATAAGACTGCCCAACATGTTGTTTTGGCAAATAGCCAAAAAGCCTGTCCTGTGCCATATTGCCTCAGGTACCTTGCTAAATGTAAAAATATCTATGCTGGAAAGAAAACCCTGCTAAATGCAACAAAATACAACCGCTAGATTATGTCGCACTGTGCAGTGAAGCTAGCCAAATGCAACAAACTGCAACAGTGCATTCTGTTGTAGCAGCTGTGGCAGAGCAGTTAGCCACCTGCAAACGACTGCAACGGTGGATTCTGTGGTAGCAGCCTTGGCACTATGCAATGTACCCTGCAAATTGCAACAAGATACAACAAAGCACAAAATGGGCAACTTGGCAGCAAGTTGCAACTTGAACAACTTGTTTCAAAACTGCTGCAATCTGCAGCATGTAGCAGGGATAGGTTTATTAGAGTAAAGCCATAGAGCTATATTAAATTACTAGAGCGCTAACTCTTCATTCTCGCGCGTGGAGACACTTTGAAGCCGTCCTGGGCGCAGACATTTTGAATTCATGTGCCTGTTTGTAGAACATAATGAAATTAGGTTGGTTGAATTTTGAAAGTGTACTCTAAATGCAACGCGCAAGTACAACATACGCAAACAACTTAAGCGCGTCACAGCGGTTTAAAAAAAAAGTCACAGTAATCATCTGCATTGCGCTGTCTGCATATAGCAAAATAAAACGCTCATATGCTGATCATGTGTTGCGGTTTTGGGGATATCGGCCTCGATAACGCACCTGTATAGAATACAAACGCAGATAAGCCAATAGCCTTACAAAAGCCGTACAAAATTTGAGTTTTCCATAGGTTTGTGTACAACCATGGATGCGCCCAGCAGGCATCACTTTGTACATGAGTCAGCGCTCTAGTAATTTAATATAGCTCTATGACTTAAACAAAGTTGCTGACTAACTTGAGAGGGCACTTGACGCGTCCTATCTCCATGTAGACATTGGCCAGTGTTTTGATGATTATCGGCTCCGCTATCACTTTGTTTATGGAGGGTCTCTTGTCAGGATCCAAGTGAAGCATTTGGAGTAAGAGACGTTTCAAGTAGTCGGTGTAGCGGTCTGAGATTGGAGCTATGGAGCCACGCATTATCTTCATCACCAAGGCTGGCAGATTCTGGAGGGGTGTGCACAAAGGAAAACGTGGGGTCTGATTTAGTCTCAAATTTGTATTCTCAGTCTACAGACTTCGTGCGCAATGTTACACAGAGCGAGTTGGAGGGGACCACTGCGAGGGACTCATTGTCGACGGCACCTGACGCTTAAAGTTATAGTCCATCATTTGTAATTTGTGAATTTTATCGTTTGAAGCAACAAAAGTGCTCAAGATCTAAAGAAGGGTGCTGAACAACTAACCTGATGACGTTTCAGCTCAGCTTTAGCTGTATATTTTGAGAAAAACAACACTCTAGGATCTTGATTTCAAATCAAAAGTTGCTGAATCATGTTTTGAATTGGGCCTGAATTCAGCGTCCGAGACACGTTCTCACTGAGCCGATTGCAGCTACGCGATGTCGCGCACTGATCCAATGAATTATATCAACCGTGCGCGCGTGTGTCGTGCCAATGCTTGTGCGCGCTTTACCGAATAACAAAAGGAACTACTAATTTGAATTTCCTACGGTGCTTTTTGACAAGCACCGTTGGGAAGGCCTTCTTTTGTTGATTTCTTCAAAATGACAGCTTGCCAGAAAGAATAATTTCACAGGGAGTTTAGTACCCTTACTATCTTTCAACCAAGTTTTTTTTTCAACAATAATTACAACAGTTACTTTTGGGATAGCTGCAAATGATGGACTCTGGCTTTAAGCCCTCTTCACACGATGCCAAAAAACTAGCAAGGTTTATGCACACTCAGAAAAATTAGTCACGGATCCTTTGCACCATATGCATGTGATCAAATGTGCGCATGTGGTTTGTCCCTCACAGTGGAAGTCTCACAAGCCATATGATAAATCCACACGTAGGCATACGCAATACTTCCAGTGAGTCAGTATTTCATACTCTTAAATTCACAACGCAACGGCACGCGCGCACTGCGTAACATCACGCAGTACGCGTGCGCCAATCTCCATTATAAGGAATTCTTCACGGCAACTCGCGAGAGGGCCATACCATAGCACAGCTAGAGGGGTGTTTCGAAAAACATGAAATAAACTTGTTGAACAAAATCGTTGCAAATTTATAATTTTTGACTTGTTTTGACTTCTGGACTGAACATTTTTGATTTTTTTTCCTACCAAAAAGGTATTTATGAATGGGAATAACTGTACTTGGCCGGTATTTAACACTTTTTTTAGGACCGGTTGGAGTCTGGGTGCTAAAAATGACCCTCACCTTCAGCTGGGGTAATTATCAGCATCCAGACGCCAACCAGTCTTAAAGATAGTGTTTAAAACTGGCCAAGCACACATTCGTTCCCTGATTTGCAAATAAACCACAAAGGGAAACTGACCAGGCGCATTTGAATTTTAGAGGTGATCAAAGAAACTGACCCAGCTCCAGTCAATTTTTTTGTTCAACTTAAAAAAAAAAAAAATCCTGAAAGTTGCTTTGCTTTCACTTCACATGAAGTATGAACCAGCTTTCAGAATGACAGGATAGAAATTCAGCAAGTATTGACTTACGTCTGCTTCAAAGGCTCTCTTCAAAGTGAGCAGTTCATATAAAACACATCCAACGGCCCAAATGTCACTTTTCTGATTGTAGCTGGAACAAAAAATGTTAAGAAAAGATGTACAAGAAATATTGTGAATATTCTACACGTTTGATCAGTCAGACAGTGAAAAATGTCTTCCACTTCCCCGTTCATGCATTTGTATGCAGTCTGGTAAAAACGAAAACAATAACAGTGTGAGGACCCGGTCTTCACTGCGTGATAATGACTGGATTGGGGGATGGCCACTTTATTCGCTTGTTTTTTTAAGGCGGTCATTATATCACGTTAAAATACCACCACGTGATCGAGTCTCAACCAATCAGAAGCTATCAACTCTCCAAGGTATCTTTTACTAAGGGAATAAATGTGTGCTCGAGAGGTTTTTATCACTCTGTTTAATACCGCTTAGAGTCTGGGTGCTGATAATTACCCGAGCCGGAGGCGAGGGTAATTATACCGCTTAGAGTCTGGGTGCTGATAATTACCCGAGCCGGAGGCGAGGGTAATTATCAGCACCCAGACTCTAAGCGGTATTAAACAGAGTGATAAATACCGACCGAGCACATATTTATTCCCATTCATAAATACCTTATCCGTAAAAAAATTAAAAAATAATTCGTTCAAAAAATCCCGATTTTGTTCAACAAGTTCACTTCATGCTTTTTGAAACATCCCTCTAGCAAAATAATGGAGTGTTCAGCTGGCGAGTAAGATGTAAACAACCCTTTTATGGAGATTGACGCGCGCGTAGCATGTTCTGCGCGATGTCACGCAGAACGCACCTGGGGCGTTGCGTTTTGAATTTAGAACTATAAAATTCTGACTCGCATGTAGTGTTGCGCATGCCTACGTGAGGATTGTGAACGTTCAACCAATGAAACGGTAAGAGGCACTGGATTTTTAGGAGTCCACATTTTATGCGACACTGGAAAAGTGTTTAAGACCAGCTAGCCATGTCTTTATCATCCGTTTAAGACCGGCCACGTGCCGGGCTCTTGACCAATAGGAATAGCTAAACTGTCCGAGGTATTTATGAATGACTGTTTAAAAACAAAAAATATCACCACTTGAATATACCCTTTGTATCATGACATGACGGAACAAAACCAAAAATACTATTATTTCCAGTTATGAGACTTTTACAGGCTTCATCCAGGAAAAAATTCCTGTGTAATTCCCAAACATGTAGTTAAAGAAGTATTGTCAATGTTTACAAAAGAAAATACTTTTTTTTTCTTTTCTTACTATGAAATAGACTAACTGTCTAATGAACTTATATCTAACCCTAACAGAACTCAACCCATCAAACCCCAACGGCATGTTTTGTTGGAATCTGTCAGGATGGGTACAGTACCCCTAAACTGATAGTCTTTTACATTGGGTTGACACACCTCCAGAAACAAAGTCAAAAATATGTGTGTACAGTTTCCCATATGGTGTTGGAATTTGCCAGGATGGGTATGGCTCCTAGTAAATTATGCTAGGGAGTTAGGGCTAATGAAATAACGAAACCGATATGTGACTATCGATACCAAAACGAATACTGAGTTTACTCATCAGTTCCCTATTGGGATTTTCTTGACAGCAACCAAATAAAAATGAAAAGTTTCAGCACAAGTATTTATTGTTAGCACAACAGCAGAAGGAGTTTCAAGCCTTTGGCTTGGACGACAAGGATACGGTTTGCCCTCACACAGCTCAGGAGAGATGTAGCACGGTGTGCCAACCACGGTGAAGGCTTTGCTCTTACTACTGAGAATCTTGGAGATACCAAAGTCTGCTATCTTGACAACGTCGCGTCGTTTGTTGAGCAAGATGTTCTGGGTCTTGAGGTCGCGATGAAGGATCTGCTTGGAGTGGACATGTTGGAGGGACAGGAGCAGCTGGCAGAATAGACGGAGGACTTCCTAAATAGGAGAAAGAAATAGAAATCTTACCAGTGTCTTACAGAAAATAAAATGGCTTATTTTAATTTGTAACTAATTATTTGGTTAAGGATAATGCAAGAGGTGCGCACCATTCGTAGGTGAGAATGGCTTTCGGCAGGCTACCGAGTGTATTTACCTACTTACACCATCCAAAAATTCTTCATTATTGCTGGAACGAAGGCATTTGCACATTTTCATTGTTGAATTTCTTTAAATGGGAAAATGTGTTTTTTTCCACAAGAAAAGAACAATGACGTCAAATCATTGGTATAATGTCAATTAGTTACATTTAAAGCATAAAAAAAAACAAAAGTTGTAGAGCTGCGATGGTAGCCTACATAGTAGTAGCTAACGAATTGAGCTCTGAATTAAAAGATCCCCTTGTTTAAATCCTGCTATACCCATATTTCCAAAGAGTATTTTTCTACTCCAACTTCATCGATAGTTTTTATTGCAGGGGAAAATGGAGAACGAAAACCTAAGTGTCTCGCTGTGATTCTATGAAATTCTTGAGTTATTCGTATTTGGCTTCACCCACCTACAGAAAGAAATATGTGTAAGATGCCAAGAGGCGTGCCATGAGTCACTCGTACAAATTAATGTCGAGGAAACAGTGTGACGTCACAGGAGGGTGTAAATGAAAACTATATTACAAAGTCTAATTGGGTATACAGAGTATAAATGGGTACCTGTGAGGGTAGAGACCAGTATGCACTGATCTTGAGCTTCTGCAGATAATAGTTAATAGGCCTAGTGTATTAAATAGTTATTTACTGATCACTCTTAGCCAATGCTCTAATCAATACAGATCAGGCTAGCAACTCTCACCCCTTCTTCTAGTAGAGCGTTGCCTCTGTGCTGAAGATAATCAAATAGCGTTCCACCTGGGATTAAAAAACAACGAAAGTCCTTACGTGTAACAATTCCATAGGCTAGATGGCTCATATTTAGGTTTTTGGTGGCACAAAATTACTAAACGAGACAAGGGAAGCATATTAAAGGGAAAATACAACATTTGCAAATATCAAAAAATAAAACTACCAAATCATTTTGAAATACCTTGCTGGACTGTTAGTGAATGACAGTGTAAAGCATCCTGTAAAATCATGGCACCTGGTATACCGTCATTTTCAAGAAAAGTGGTATTTTTGTATCAATTTCCAACGCTGATCGGCCGATCAGCGTTGGAAAAAAACTGGCTTTTTTTCAAATACTGGCCCCCATTGGCCATCGCACTTGTTTGCAATCGAGTACACACCTATGAACGGGTACAAGCCAGCTAGACTGGTTCCCTGACCTTACAATTCCCCAATATATGTAAACTGCTCTGTTTCTTCTTAAATGGAGTCAGGGAACCAGACTACAGGAAAATGGTTGTTTTTCTTGGTTTTTATAGCATTTTCGAACCCAAAACCTCAAAAAAGTCAGTGTAACTATATTTGCTATATATGTCCAACCCCCCAATTCCATCCATTTCTGAAAATTACAGCAAAAGCAAATGATGTATATTCCCTTTAAGGGATTGTCCATAAAGTATGTAGGCACGAACGTGGTGAGAGGGGGGTAAGAGGGAGAGGGGGTGGTTAACATTGCATTCACCATGCATGCATTTTGTGTATACATACATGTACATACATGTACGTTATGGATGGCCCTTAAAGCTAGTCCTACAGCAAAACTCTATTGAAAGAATTTCAAGGAAAATCACAGTGCCCAACGTTTATGAGTGCGCAATGTACAGTGCCATAAACAATATGATAGAGTTTTAATTGGGTTTTGTTTTGTTTACCTTCGTCAATGTATTTTATAAAGGATGTAAATATATAGTTTTGTCTGAGGGCTTGTGAAAAAATAACTCTGCAAGCTTACTTGGGTGGGACTGGAACCCACAAATTCCTGCCTTCTAGTGCAGATGTCTTTATCGCTCAACCACCCAACTTGACGGGTCGGCTGGCTGGTTTGAGTCTGAAACTTTTTATGAGATAAAATTTGCAATAGGGAGATGAAAATTTTATAGCATTTTTCGTTGCCCTTTGCTGTCTCTGCCTTATAAACTCCATATGCTCACTGCCGTCCGATGGCTTGCTAGAATTTTTTGTAAACGCTTCTGCTGGTGGGACTCGAACCAACGACCTCTTGCTTACTAGTGCTGACATCTTACCACTCGACCACAGGGCTTGCCAGGGTTCGGCTGGCCGGTTTGAGTCTGATGTAGCAGCAGGTGCTGCAACCAAACATTTTATGAGATGAAATTTGCCTGAAAGTCTCCTTTAAAAATTGAATTGAGTGTACAAACTTGGTTGGTGAAAGACTGAGGAGCTTTTCTTTGCCCAATGGAATTTTTGGAGAAATTTGGTGGCTAAACTGTGAGTAAAGTTGGCCTGATTTAGTTTTGCACGTTTCAGAGCACTCCAGAGCCCTGTCTAATTCCAACTCTTAAAATTTCGACAGACAACTTGGTCAACTTTTGTTTTGAAGAGCGACCTACTACACTGTACCTTCAGCATATTCCATGACTATGCTTAAGGCCTTGTCCTCCAGGAAGTTTTCGTAATACTTGATGATGTTAGGATGATCCAGCATAGCGAGCACCTTGGATTCATTGACGGCTACCTGGCGTTCTTCTCCCGTCATCTGCTCCACGGGGATCTGCTTGATGATGACAAGCTTCTGGTCGCTAAGACGACGACAGAGATACACGGTCCTGTTGGGAAATATCATACGCGTATGCGCACATATGGGTTACGATCACATGACATGTAGAATGGATGCATCAATGACTATTTTGCGTCTACATTGGTGATGATTGTCCGTGCCCTAGAACCTGAAGCCACAGTGTGTCTTGTACCATTCATGAAACAGACGTTGATGCATCCTGACATGCAGAGTTGTTTTCTACGCGTGTTGTTCATATCAATTTATAATATGTGTGATTTGCAAAAAAAATGTTAAAAGTTTAACAGCGGTTTTCACACATATTGATACTGATTCTTGAGGTCAGACATCCGGGAACTTTCGTTGCACTTCCATGTAGCAACACTGTCCAGTGCAAAGAGAAAACAAACACGGACAAAAAGGGAAGTGAACGTACATTGAAGAACGGCAACATTCTAGATTTCATGTCAGATTAAATAATAATAATAGTGATAAAGGCATTTATGTGGTGCTTAAAGGGAATATACACCATTTGCTTTTGCTGTAATTTTCAGAAATGGATGGAATTGGGGGGTTGGAAATATATAGCAAATATAGTTACACTGACTTTTTTGAGGTTTTGGGTTCGAAAATGCTATAAAAACCAAGAAAAACAATCATTTTCCTGTAGTCTGGTTCCCTGACTCCATTTAAAAAGAAAAAGAGCAGTTTACATACATTGGGGAATTGTAAGGTCAGGGAACCATTCTAGCTGGCTTGTACCCATTCATAGGTGTTTAATCGATTGCAAACAAGTGCGATGGTCAACTGGGGCCAGTATTTGAAAAAAAAACAGTTGTTTCCAACGCTGGTCGGCCGATCAGCGTTGGAAATTGATACAAAAATACCACTTTTCTTGAAAATGACAGTATACCAGGTGCCATGATTTTACAGGATGTTTTACACTGTCATTCACTAACAGTCCAGCAAGGTATTTCAAAATGATTTGGTAGTTTTATTTTTTGATGTTTGCAAATGTTGTATTTTCCCTTTAAATACCTAAAAGCACCTCAATTTCCTGGTTTTGAGGCCAATATTGTCAAAACTTGAAAAATCAAAGTTGCTGTGTATTTTAGATGAAATAGTGGTCAAAATACTTCAAAAAGTGATGAAAGAAACGTCAAAATTAATGAAACGAGCATTAAAATTTGTGTCGGTGATGATCCCTTTTTTGCCGATATTGTCCATTTTCGTTAAATGACAAGCACAAACTCTCCCATCACAGCCTAAATCCTTTATGCAGCAAAGGATCCTCTTTAAAATGAATATATACAATCAAGTTGAACAACCGTTTATTTGTAGCATCATTTGATTTGTGTGTAGACAAACGAAATGGCAGATGTATCGTTCTGCGCGGCTACAGGGTGCTATACAATCTTTGGCCAGCACGTTGCCAGACTACATGTACATGTGCATCCAACTTATAGTCATGCTAGTCTAGACTGAAAACACATTTTTCCTAAAAAATATTCGCATTGCCAAGTGGGAGATAAAGTGGAGGCTTAGTAGTATGGAACATTTTCCGGTTCCTCCTTTAAGATCATGGTCATGAACTGATGAATTTATAATTGGTTTATTTCATAAAAATCATATTGCAGCAAAATGCTGAATTACATGACATTTACAGTGTTCAATAAAAAAGACAGCCAACACAAATAATTATTTGAAAAAAACAACCCAGAACTGGCTATTACATTTACATTGGATAATATTAGTTTTTAAATTGAAGATAAAACATTTAGTTATATAAAAATACAGTACAACAGACAAATTGATTAACGATTGACGATGGTGGGGCAGTAATTGCACTATTTCTTTTTCTTGTTCAACAACTCAGTCATGTAAGGCAGGGGGCTAGTTCTGAATCTGTTGGTGCAGCACCTATATGGTTTGAATTTAGTTTGGGTTCTGAGGGTCATTGATGATTTGTACTCAGAGGGAGGGAACCACTCAGAGAACTGCGGAGATGTACATGCTTTTGTGGCAAAGTCTCTGCAGATTTGCTGTCGCCTTACATGAAGAGGCTCAAGCTCTAGTTTCATCAAGGAATCTGGGTAGGATGTGAACTGTGTGCCCAGAATGCATTTACAGACACGCTTTTGAATCATCTCAATTTGGTTACTTTGTCTCTGAGTGAGACCCGCATGCCACAATGGAACAGCATACTCTAGTACAGGTCTGATATAACTTTTGTACACACTCAGAAGTTCACAGTCATTGAACCCTGCACCTTTCAATTTACGCAACATGAACATTTTTCGGTTTGCTTTAGTGTGGACACTTTCTACCTGGGAATCCCATTTTAAATCATCCTGGATCATAACACCAAGCAGTTTGACTTTACTGACAACCTCAAGGCGTTGATCTGAAATTCTTAGGTCAACATCTGGAATTTCTTTTTTGCCAAAGTATACTTGCATTGCCTGGCATTTGACAGGATTTAGTTTTAGTTTGTTTTGAACTGACCATTCCTGCAAGGTATTTAAATGCTCTTGCATGTCGCTGACATTATCAACTGTTCTATTTTCACCAATAGTCAGGTCGTCAACATATTTCCACACTGACGGTTTGCTCTCATCATTCAGAGATTGCTCTCATCATTCAGAGATGAAGGTTCAACACTGTACTGTAGTCAGTGTACATGTATTAAGTGTAACTAAGTTAACGCAAGTTTAGCTCAGTCACCCGGCGGCTAGCCCCACTAGTGTGGCCGCGGTATGCTGCGCTGAACTCTGAACCTCAGCGCAGCATTCCGCGGCCACACTAGTGGGGATGTCACGCCCCAACTATCGCATCGGTCCCAACTATAGTTGGGCCTGTCCCAACTGTAGTTCCACAGTTGGGCTGGCCCAACTATAGTTGGGCCTGTCCCAACTATAGTTGGGACGGTCCCAACTGTAAGTTTTATTGTTGGGCTGGCCCATCTATAGTTGGGCCACTCCGATCTTTTTATTTTGCGGTGTCCCAACTATAGTTTACATTGATGTACAACTGTAAAACGTTCCCTTCAGCTCTGATACACGTCTGACTTTACTGGGGACCACTGAAATTAGTTATTGATGGGGCGAATCTATAGTTGGGCGGGCCTTGGGCCACTCCAATCTTTTTATTTTGCGGTCCCAACTATAGTGTACATTGTTGTACGATTATAAAACATTCCCTACAACTCTAATACACATCTGACTTTACTTGGGACCAATGAAATTATCTATGGGTGGGGACCATCTGTAGTTGGGCCACCGCAATATTTTTATTTGGCGGTCCCAACTATAGTTTACATTGATGTACGACGACTATAAAACATTCCCTACAGCTCTGTTACATACTGTCCGACTTTACTTGGGACCTTTGACATTAGCTATGGGTGGGGCCCATCTATACTAGTTGGCCGGCCATGGCAATCTTTGAATTTTGCAAAATGTTGCTGGACAATCAACCCAGCAGCTGGACAACTCATCCAACTAGGCAGTACCACGTGACCGGCCAGCCTTGCGGCATGCATGCACGACGAATACACGGTGCCAGCGCCGCGGAACATTTAATCCAACAAGATCTATCAAGCATGAAGCATCCGGCGCAACTCCAGTCCTAACTATAGTTGGGCCGACCCAACTGCCGCACTATAGTTGGGACAGTCCCAACTATAGTTGGGACCGATGCGATAGTTGGGGCGTGACAGGGCTACCCGGCGGCCGGCGCGGTACCACGACCACGACTGCTTTGCAGATATTTTGTCAGATTTCCTGTATCTTACGCATGAATGTTACATACCCATAAGCTCCTCTGCCAACCACACGTATTTTCTCATACTTGTCCATCGCATTATTTGTGCCACTTCAGTAAAGTTGTTTCGATTTGGTCCCGACAAACTTTCATTGCCCCCGATATGCCCGGCCACAACAAACTATAATTGCAAAAGTGAGAGGCGGCAGAGGGCGCACTTTGTAACTTTTTGGGAAGGAGGAACTAGTAATACTAATATAATAGTCCGGTTCGTATTTATAAGATAATGGCTTAATTAATTCCAAACTTTTGGATACCTGAGGGTCTAAATTTTTCCAAGGTCATCTTATTATCTGATCTTAGCCACCATCTTGGAAATTCAAAATGGTGACTTTTGGAAGCTTTATTTCCCTGATAACTGCACGGGCTTGTAGTGCATGTTACCCCGGCCCAATTGCAATGAAACCCACTGCAGCCCGGCCTGTTTTCACAACTTCCGTACAATTTGACATTGTAGCCTAGTATTTCCTCATCATTCAGACACAAAAAGAGCCTAACTTCATGAATGTTGTCAACGGTTACCATGGTGACCGATTTTAAAAACTGCTTTTCATAAATGTAAGGTGCGTGTTATAACATCAAAATAAAAGTTTTTTTTTTTGCTAGACAAAAAATATTGTTTAAGCCCGGCCTAGACATGTTGAGAAGATAACGTCTTGGTTGTTATGACAACGAAGTAAAAAATAACTTTTTCCTAAGTTAATGGTATTTTTATAAAACATTTAAAATATGTTTTTTTTCTGCGCAGACATCATGTCAAGAATTTGCCTTCAAGTTTCAACCAAAATTATCTGCAGCGAGTGTCGGAACCATTGATCTCCATACACACAGACATATGGAGATCAATGGTCGGAACCCAATTATGGCTGCAATCGACACGAAAGGATTTTTAATCCTCACCGTTTTCTGTTTTGTTTATTTAGGGTTAGCTGTTTCGGCAGAACTAACGGGAGGAAATCCAAAGTAGTAGCATATTTCAACAGCGATTAAGTTTGGCTGAGTAAGTTTATTTATTTTTTTAAACCAAATCACTATAAAAATGAAGATTTTGTACGATACCCTAAAATTAGTTAAATCCCCCACGGTAACCTTATCTATAAGTAGGCCCTTTACTATGGAAATTCAATGCAAATTCTAGAAGACAAAGCGATGCCCCCAAAATAATTAGTGAACTGTTTAAATGTGATAACTTTAAAAGTGAGAACTCTTCAAACAGTTCCAAAAATTACAAAAAGCAATCCTTCGGGTAAAAATGAATCCGAAAGCTACATTTCGAGTTTTTTTTGTGCAAACCTGCCAACACATATTGAGATAAGGTTTGAGGAGCATTGCGATCCTAGGAAGTGGGCACTTTGTCCTTACGTATTTTTTAAAACAGGAATTAAAATGCTTCATTTTTTTAAAGAGAAAACAAAGTACATTGTAGAAAAGATGGAGAAGACAAAATCCAAAGGGAATCGAACTCACATCAACGGATTCGTATATGATGTAATATCTACGACACTACGGCGGTGACTCAATCGAGGTGGTTGTTGTAACATTTATAATTATCATTGCATGTATCACATAACACCCTCCAGCATAATTTTCTAGTTTAGTAGCGATACGAGCAAGCAGAACAATAACGTACTGCAACTTTTCAGTGTATTTATTCAGCTTATTTATTCAGCGTTTTGTTTTTTTACCCTATATACGTATAAGACAGGTTTCGTTTAAAATAATGTACAACTATTGTACGCGGCGAGTCAAAAGAAGCAAAACCAAAATGTCGGGACTATTGTTTAAGTTGAAATTCTGCATGTAGCACTTTCAAAATCTAAGACACGAAAGCCCAAATCACAAACTTTCTCTCAGTGCAAAAAATCATTCAAATCACTTGTGTACTTTTCAAGTTACTGAATTTTAAACACAACCACCGTTTTAAAGTTCTGTCCACGGATCACAAAAACGGTGTGCGTTCTTTAAGCAAAACGAAAACAATTCACACGTATAACATCCGTATGTGAAATGTTTTCGTTTTGCTGAAAGAGCACTTACCTTTTTATGATCCGTGGACAGAACTTCAAAAAGGTTGCTGTGTTTAAAATTCAGTAACTTGAAAAGTACATAAGCAATTGGAATGATTCTTGTACTAAAAGAAAGCTTATGAAGTTGGCTTTCATATCCTAGATTTTAAAAGTGCTACATACAAAACTTCACTAAAACAATAGTCCCAACATTTGGGTTTCGCTTTTTTGACTCACCCTGTATATGTTTCTTCGATCTTCAAAATGTAGAAACTTTGAAGCATAGGGCCTACATTTTCGGAAGCAGAAACTTAGTGTCCCAATTCAGGGGGCAGCTTCACATGGGACCACCTTCACGTCTTGCCAGGGTTTTATTATCCCTTTAAAACTATCCACGTGACGGGATCTCGACCAATAGGAACGGGTATACTGTCTCAGTTATTTATGAATGTTCCCTCATACCATGTGAAGCAATCAACGCAACGCATATTAATGGTACACATTTTCTTATCTCATACAATGCGTGAAATAAGAACAGTTGGGTTGGGTTGAGTTTCCTCAAAATTACGCTTGGTGGCGCTGTATATTCCCCGAATGCACGCACCAATCTATGCGGCCTTTTTTCTTCTTCTAGCATGATCAAGAACAATTCATGATCAGAGACAGCGTTAGGCAATAACATAGTGTTTTTGTCTTTTGGTGTCGTGACTTAATATAACTTAAACTGGCGATCCTTTCAATGTACCTACAGTGAGGTTTCCAGGGGAGTGCGGAGGGGGCGCCCGCCCCGGCAGCGGGAGTGACCGAACTTTTCTCAAGGCCATTTTCACTATTGAGAGCCCTTCCGCCGCCCGGCACAGCATCAACCCCCGGCAGAAACTTCTCCTTAACCTTTACATATTTACCAATAATGGTGAACCTCGATCTTTGGTATTTGGATTTTGTTCTCATCCTTATCGTACTCTAAGTATCGAACGAAAGCAAGTTTTGTCTCGCTCATCCACACTGCATTATCCCCGACAAACATGCAACATTTCACCAAATGGAAAACATTATTAAGGTCGTCGATGTTCCACAGGTACATCGGGCCGCGACCACAATCATCACATGCAATACACTTATTGCCAAAGACATAATTGATCCTTAGCAGGTATTGTTTATAATTATCATCGTCCGAGTTGATGTCCCTGATGAATTTGCCGTCGAGATTGAAAAATCTCACATTAGAGAGCGATGTGGCGAGGAGGAATTCACCGTTGAAGTGAAAGTGCGATGATTCATCATCTGGGTCCCAATCCTCAAAGTCCACACCAGGCACGTCAAAGTGTCTGATGCACTCCCCGGATTCCACGTTCCATATCTTCATGACATTTCCCCAATGGGCACTAATCACGATGCCGTCCCCAAGGTGACACGAAATTAAGTAATTGGCATCACTGACGATTGTCTGCTTACAGACACCACTCTGTACGTCCCATAATCGAATCTTACGGTCGATGTAAGCACCTGCAACTGTCTTGTCAAAATAGTCCACGCCAATCGGTCGGCACCGGAAGGGATCATCGGAGGTGCTCTCAAAGACGAAACGAGATGTACCGTCTATAGCATTCCAGACCCGTATATCACCGTCAGCACGTACCTCCCTCATGTCCCCGTCTAACTCCGCTGCAATACTAATAATGGTGTCACCATCGAAGAATAGACGAGACACATCCAGACGATGCCCCGACATGACTTGCAGCTGCTCTCCAGTCTGGGCGCAGTAGGTACGAATCTTACCACCACGGCACCCTACAGCTATGACGCCATTCTTCATTTTGAGCGCCTTGCTTATTCTACCGATACCCACTTTGATGCGATGTCGACGTTTTCCGCTGGAGATATCCCATATATGTAATGTGTCATTCGAGAGAGCACCGGCAAGAATATTCCCTTCACCAGCTAGGCCGCGTACTGTCACCTCAGGTTCAGAACAGTCATTTTTTCTGGAACTCTTAGTGTAGCCAGCTGAGCCAAACTCGAATGAGACAACGTGATACAGATTGTTCTTCCAATTTCGTTCCAGATGTCGTGCCTTCATGTATATCTCCTTCCATTTGCATGTATTCACCAACCCTGGCCGGTTTGAATCAGTGACAACCGAATCAAAGGCAAAGGTGACACCGTCACCAACGCTTCCATCCCCGCCAGGTTGAGGTGACGAAGGTATGAACGGGGGTTCTTTACAAAGATCAACGACTGCATCAAACTTCTCCCATCGCTTCTCTCGGCAAAGAGGGCGCCATAGAGCATCGTAATTGGCGGCCTCTCTCAATGATCGATTACATAATGCCACGTGACACAGGTCCTCAGCTGAAAGATGTTGAAGTACGAGAACCTTCATCTCATTCGGCAGGTTAGAAAAATGGTCTTTTGTTGGAACTGACAACGCCATTGCTGTGAAATACAAGGTGGAGAAACTATTTTTAACACTGAACCATTTTTGTTAAGAATATCTCTTCTGGTTTACATGACCATGTAGAAATATGCCATTTTAAATTCCAGATAGACTTAATTAAATGCAGTCAGATTTCGAGCGCCCATTTCTTTTTAGTTCAACGATACCACATGGCTCCGTATTATGGTAGCATGATACGAGTGAAGCATTCTAATGCAGGGATTTAAAGTGATTATTGGTAACGGCATTATGGAATTGTTTGCTAAACCGACATCTTTCTAGTTAAGCGAGAACAATAAACATGTTCTTGATCTATGCCTAAATGTTATAGCTGTCTCCTTCATAATTCTGTAGGCAAATATATGTCGTCCATGATCATTCGTATTATAGGCCTATACACGTACGAAACCATGAAAGAAGAAGTGCACATATGCACGCTGAATATGGGGCTACTCGACTGTGCAGTAGACTAATGCGTTGCGGGTACATCAGAGGTCGTTCCTTGTTATCTTAATTTTAACAATGAATTAAAAGCAAACGATTCGTTCTATCTCAGCGATGTATAGTATTGCCGTATATCTGAACACATAGCACTTATACAACGGGCAAGGCTTCCGTTAACCTATGTATATGCTGCTTACCGTCACACTGTGCAAACGGTTCTTCCATGCACA